GTTCAATAATGGATTAGCATTGTCTATTCAAACATCAGCAGCGTTCTTGAACTCAAAATGGCAAGTTCATTTTGTTGATATTAAAGGGAATATATTGCGTAGGATACAAAATAATCCTGATGGCCAAACATATTTTGAAGAACCTTTAAATCTAGCTTCAAACAAAGACAAAAATGTTCTTTTTGTGTCTGATAAGGGAAAAAATGCGGTGTTCGCTTTTAATGTAATGGGACAATTGGTATACTACTATCACGGAATATTAGTGAGGTCGCCGTTAGGAATTGCTACCGACAAATTTGAAAACGTTTATGTGAGTTGTGGAAAGAAAGTAGTCCAGATAAAGAAAGGCGGTGAACAGTCTAGAGAACTATCTATAGATAGCAAAGACAATATCGTTAGTGTGTGTATGAATTTTAAATCAGATACATTGACAATTATATCAAAATCCGGTCATATTGCATCTTTTGAATTCGAGCCATTGAAAATTGTATGACAAACAATTGTTAATGCTATACCTTACATGTGTTGTTATCAAACTTATCTTAAAATTATTTTGTGAACGGTCGGTTGGTTAATTGGCATTGCTTACATTACAATGAAACAATTTTAAACATATGCTGTGTGGAAACGTATTTTGTACTCCTTACGAAATATAAATATTGCATTTTCTTATTATGTCTAGTGATTTAATCATAACATCACATTGATATTTGTTGATAAAATGCATATCTGATACAAAGGCGTTATCAGTTATCCACATCTTACCAATGCACATGGAATTGTTTACCTTCTACTAGTTTAAAAATATTAAAGTGATAAACTTTGAATCCTCAAATATTCAAGTGTCTCTTACAATTGACTACATAAATTCACGACTATTGTTTATCGCTATTACCATTGGCATATTATAGTGCGTTAGCTCGAGAGGTTCTTGGCAGGTTTGTTTCATTCATTCAGTTAATATTGAATACCTGCATTTCTTATCACAGAAAGTTATGATTTAGTTATCTCAGTCACTGTCCTGTTGCGTGAAACTCGGTTCTTTGCCTTATTATATATTCCTAGTACAATAACGTTACAATTCTATATATATTTTCCTTTTTCTTACATCATTTTAGCACTGAAGCAGTGCTTGTTGACATTCATATCAATCTCGTTTTCTTGCAGTTATTGTTGACACTAACTTTTCATTAGTTTTTATCACTTATCTCATTAAAATTATTATGTATAGCAACTGCTTGTAGAATCAAGACGTTTTCGTCATCAAATTTTGTAATTTAAATATATTTGTTCCTAAATAATCTCATTTGCATTATTTCTTTTCGTCAATATTTTGAGAATTAATTCGTGTGTAACCATCCCGTTGTGGTGAAAGACTTTGTAAAAAAAATCCATCATGTTTAAGGTGACATTGTGCTCATTATTTCATTGTCAAGTTGAACTGATTTTACTATATCTTTCAAAGGACGTAGTATTGTAATGGTGATTGACCAGCATTTGACATTGGAAAAACAGAAAATACGTAAATCTTGTGTTTTTGCGTTTTTTTTTTTTTTAATTTTTATTGTTTTCGTCGTTGTTTTAAGTATAATAAAATCGTGGTCAATCGTTCAATTATTCTACCTCTGCAACGTAAAAATATTCATCCTAATCCCGGTCCTGGGAATTCGTATATTCCACATGCATCATTGTATTTCATCATTTTCTTTATTTCCCTTAATTGAATTCCTGTTCGGAAAATGATCCATAATAAAAAAACATTTTTCTTTGATAATAAATAGTCCATGTATTTAGTATTATGAAAAATCGGTGCAAAAACTCGGCATTCTAATTCAAACCGTTATTATTATTTTTATGAATAGAGCTCACAGAGGTACATCTGTACATTCATAATTCAAGTGAATTGGTCTACAATGGACACATTTCCCAAATGTATTTCAAATATTCATTAAAATAATAGAAATGTAACATTTGGATTTTCGTATAGAGTATTTATTGGATAAGATTTTATACAATTCTAAGTGATTTAATAAAATTAATTATATTTTGTTCCGATTTTGTTTTTGCTATATTTTAATATATCATATCTTCACACTACCAAGTACATTCATATTTTGTACTTTCTTTGTCGGGTTCTTAATACTAACAAAATAATTATGAATGGTAGTAAGGACCTCAAATGATGGACGAGTTTAATACAGTCTTTATACAAATCATGAGGATCGGGAACTATGTTATCATCTCTATTAAACTGATACAATGCATTTTATTTTTTTATTTTTTTACCTTAAGTTTGCTCAAATGTGGTACTGTAAGCATTATAAATAGTGTAAGTGATGTCGTCATGATAATTTTATCATATATAAATGATATTTCTGTACATGATATGTGTCGCCATTGGAGCTTCTCAGCCTTTACCGCGCCTCTATAACTTAACCAATCTGGACAAATCTTTTAATGGCAAATTCCAAAATATGAATTGTTACAAAAGCTACCGTATAAGTAGGCACTGAACTGTAGGTTGTTCTTGGTCTGCACTCGTCGCATGGCTATAATTAGTTGTCACCAGCAGGTTATTGGTTAATTGACGTATACAAAGGCGCGTTAAAATGCCAAAACATGATCAATTTATTTATTATTAGCATTTTAAATTATGTGATTGATACTAAAGTCTTGTTGTTGTTTTTTTTTTTTTTTTTTTTGTTTAAAATAAGTCAAAAATATATTATAAGACAACTCATGTGAGATCTTATAGATTTAGATATACAACACATTTCTTTAATGTTTTAATGGTCCTCTTTGTTTATGCTTATATGCTTTTTATGAACATTGAAATAAGAAATTTGATAATAAATCTTTACAAATTGGAAATATTAGCACTTATCAGGAATAATGAGTTTATTCACATACATTTAAAAGAAACAATCTTAAATTAAAAAGATACTTAGTGGAAGTAAACCTGGTATATTTTGATAGTTTATTTATTATATTTGCACAATACATTAAAATTGATAGCAATGCTTACTTTCAATCCTAAATTCAAAGTAAACAGTTACCATGGACTCTAAAGTATTGTTTGAATCTCACAAGACAATAACTTTTTGACAAAAATTTTTGAATCCCAAGTTGCTAAGTTTTTGCTCAGTTTTTGTTGTATAGCTGTTATATTATGTAATGCATTTTTTACCGTAAGTTATTGATATTTGATTGTTGAAATAAAGATAATATACCAAAAATGTTAGTTATGTGTTTTTCTTTTGTTATAACGCAGTATTTACGCATCCGAAATTATTTTGATCATCAAATTTTATGACTAAAATCTTGTGCACCTTGTCAGAAGAATTTATTTTGCATTATTAGTTTCTATTCAATTTTACTATTATTCATATTGTTTGTTGTTTTTGTTGATGATGATGCTTTTATAAAATGAATGTCATATTAGATGTACACGGAATTTTTTAAGATATGAAAACAGACGGGGGTTCCGAAAGACGCAGTAACAGAAAAGTTCTCTTAACAAAACCTACGAAGGGTGCCAGAAAGTATCGGTTTTGTAGATTTTTTTGTGTCTTTAAGCATTTTGAGCAATCGTGTTCGATATTTGAAATTTGGTGTCCTCGTAATTTTGGACAAAGTTCATTATATGTCATATCAGGGTCTTTCAAATGAAGATCCTGGTCATAATTATAACCCAGTGACTCTAATTTAGAATACACTATTCACTAGAAAATTCAATGAAATTTTGAAAGCAGTGAAAAAAAATTGAAATATTTTTTGAAGAAGCATGGACAATAGAACTAAAGTATCCGAAAATTTAACTAGAAAGGTCGTTTCAGAAACCCCTTTAGAATATTCTAAGGGAAAAGTTCAGAAAGTTTCTTTATTGTCGCCGTTCCTGGACGGTGTCATATATACAATAAACAAGATTTGAAATTTTCTACTCGTACACCACAAGCCTTAAGCTAACCAGAATGGAGAATTTAATGCCAGATTTCAAAAAGGGGCGCCTAAGGGGCGTTTTTATCGGGTTACTTTCTAAATAGATTTTGAAACACTATCTTCTAGATAGAAACTAGTGTGTAGGCTTCTGTGCGGTAAACAATGTTAGAAATGTAAGAGGAATACCTTTAGAAATTATTTACTCTATACTGAGTTCCATATGTTTTCCTGGCATGACTCCCAAACTTTTGACATCATTTGCTTTAATTGTACATCTAAGGGACGCAACTGATGATGACGAAATAACATTCATTGGACGAGTTAACTCCCTTTTATGGTCTCCATGTAATGACATAAATACTACGGCAGCACTAATTACCGCGACGCGTAAATTGTACGTGCTTTCTTAATTCAAAAGTGCCTAATCCATTAATATTTTGCATATAATTAACTCCTCTATTTCATAAAGAATGTTGTTCGAATATACTTGCATGTTAATACACATGTACTTGTATAATTTTACTAAGACTGGCCAATGAGATTCCCAGATTTCAGTTTGTAATTCTTAAATGACAAATGCAAATTATTTTTATCTTCATTTCTTCCATGTAAATTTTAATTTACAATTTTTTAGATGGACTTTGGCAAAACAGAGATCATTTTAGAATACAATAGTTTAATGTTTAAACATTGTTTTATTTATATTTCTAGAATCGCCGAGGATTTTTCTACCTCCGGTGTTCGTTCATATATCTATACATTTCATTGTATAATGATAAAATGACACGTATCCGACGCTGTAATTAGAAGGCATCAACAAATGTGTGAAGTGTAATTCTCTTTCTGTGTTTTTGATCATGTTTGTCACTTTCAGATTAGAAAGATGTAGAATTATTAAGGCTCTGATTGATATTGCTTTTCAAAATGTTAAAGATTGTCACACCATTTCATTTTTCTAAAATTTTATCAGCTTGTTATATTTTTCATCACATCCTTATAACATAAATGTCTAAAATACAAACTTTTTCGGCAAGTCCCACTGTAATTCAGCTTTCAGTAGTTGCACTGCATTTATCAACAATGTCATATGCCATTCATTGGATAATAATAAAATCTTTTCATCAGTATTTATATTTTCCTGCTTCCTAATTTTGTTCATATCTTGCCGGGATGGTGTAGAGGGTAGGATTATGTACTGTAAGTTGTTTTATATTTATATTCAAATATGATGCTTTGTTTAAAAATCAAAACGAAAGAAACAAAAATGAAAATATAAACGACCTTATTACAACGGCGTTTATATTGAAAAATATATCATTTTTCAGAAACTTGAATGATAAATAACTTAAATGTTGTTTATATAGCATGGCTAGTTACACGTAGCCCATTCTCCGCGTTCTGAATTTATGTAATATTCAGTACATGTAGCAAAGAAGTAAAAATATGAGAGTTTCTTAATCAATATAAACGCTTTAAAGTATCATTCAATGCATCAGAGAAATGAAAAATAATGTTGTTTTACTTACTTATTTGTTTATTTATTTTTTATTATTTTATTTTCATAGGGCTTGAGTTGGGGTATATTATTTTCATGAGAGTTGGGGTTTGGGTTGGGATGGGGGTATTGTAATAGGTGGGAGACGTTAACTTGATTGAACATTTATATTACGCTTCTGTATAATACATGTAATGTTTGTCTGTTATATCATTTTGAAATATTTATTTATGCAGTGATGTCCGCTGTTTAAAGGATAAACTGAACAAGTGTATGAGTGATCAGCCCAGTATGAAGTCAATGATAGCAGTACTTGGTAGGCCTTATTTCTTCTCCTTCTTTTTCCTCTCCTTCTTAAAAAAGGAATAAAGGAAAAAGTTTAACATTTCAAACATGCACGCACGCACACACACTCACTCACGCGCACACACACACACACGCGCACACGCACACGCACGCACGCACGCACACACACACACACACACGCACACACACAAACTATTCATTGATTATCAATGTAAGTGTTGATTTAAATAAATTATCTTTCAAGTTTTGCTTCTTATCACAACGTGTAAAAAGTACATGAGCAGATGAAAGAGTTGCGTTGTTGAAACTATTTTTTCTCTCTTAAAATAGAGACAACAAAAGCAGGCAGCAAAAAGATTTAGCCATAATTTTAGTTACATATTTGTGTTGATAACAATAATAGGACAAGCAATTTGCATCAATCTGTATTTACATCTCTAAACACCCTTGTTTGTCTATACAGGCTGCTTATTGTTATTTGGTGTACCTGCAATCAGGGGGACAGGTAAGTCAGATCATTATCGCTTGTGTCCATTACATTTTCTTCTTGTGCTAGGTCACTTTTTATACAATGCTTATATCAGATAAGTATAAATATTTCTTACATTGTGTCTTTTTAATTTCCCTAAGCATTTTTAAAACATTACTTTGAACAAATATATTTAAGTAACATATAAATACTTATATTTTTTCATGTATAATGTAGTATTTGATAGTTTTTTCATTCTTCGATAAATAATCATCATATCAATCTTAATTGGTGTAATCTACTATAACGCGAACGCTAGGGTAGGTTATAGACATATTTCAGAATAAAACTGTAGAATGGAAAAAACTGTTCTTCATCTTTGGATATGACAGAGACAGAAACATTATATCGAAACAATTGTGGTCAACGATAACGCAAAAACCGAGATGGTAGACACCAAATATGTTTCGCTTAAAGTGTATTGATAGAAATTTTGTAACATACAGTTTTTTTGCTATACGTCTGAATGTAATCCTAGGGTTTGCATTGAAATAGTTTTGTGAACACATTTAGATATCATGTCAATTCATGAAGACTATTTTGATAGTTTTATATATAGATGAGTCGATGAGGCTTATTCAAAATTATAAATTTTGATTACTGTCAATGTTATTATTTTATATTTCATTGAATCATTGTTTTATTTTTAGATTCTTTGGAATGTAACAGCTGTTCTAATGCTGTCAATATACACGAATGTGAATCAACGGAAAGGTGCAAGGAAAGACAGGTATAGTCCTATCATAATTCAATAATTACATGACAACATATTTTGCGGAATTAATTGATACCGTTTCTTTTCATTTTTAACTTTAATTATATAAGATTTCATTTATTATTTATTACTTCATAGGTTTGCTTCAAAAAGCGAGAATTTACAAATCAAGTCCAGTTTGACATGGGATGCGTAGACAAAGAGGTATATTATAATAGATATTTTGCTAATCACATAGTTAAGCCTTTAATCTCTCTCTGCAGATGATAAAGTAGAATTTTGATTTGTTAATTTGTTCAAAAGTGAAAGATTATGTGTACACAAACCTGAAATATGATAAAGAATTGAAAATTTAAGCTGTTGACAAAAACATGACTGATACTGCCATGTCATTTGGTTGATTTCCAGGCAGTACTTTTTAAAAGAATAATGCTAAATATAATCTAAAAAGAATATCCAACGATATTGACTAGCAATTTTTGCAAAAAAGTTACGTCTTTACCAAAATTGGAGAAAGACATTGTAAAAACGAAAGATAGGGTTATATACAGACATCTTTAAAGTTATTTCTATAAATAATTGTAACAAAAATAGTTTTATTATAGGCCATGTTCTCATTATCTTAATGTTAAAGATGATTTACTTGTCTGTTCATGAAAACCTAAGTTATTGTCTTGGTATTTTTGTTAAACATGTTTCTCTGAATCATCAAGTAGTGACACGTTATATCTACTTTGTAAAGTATGGTATAAAACACAATTACAGAACGTTTGAAGAGCTTATATAGCCGACCTAGTTCTGAAAATTTATATAATACTTTACAGAGGTGCGGTAGATACGCAACGGGTAAAAATGAGTCGGATATCGTCAAAATGAGCTCGGACAAGACAAGTTATTGCTACGAATGTTGTTCGATCGACAGATGTAACAAAAATCTTTGTGAATATCCTCCCCGTAAGTGGCATGCGATAACAATCAAGATGATGACATTTTTTTCTTTTTACTTTAAATTAAGTTTTGACAGTTTCCTCCCCGTAAAAGTCAACCAGCCATGCTAAACTAAATGCATAAGTGGTAACATTTTATCCTTTAATTATTATCAACTAACAAAGCTACTTAAATGGTTTAATTTATATATTATGTCACATATAACCGTTCCATTCTCCAAAAAGTTTGGTACAATTATTCACTAAATCAACACCATACCAGGTTCAATACAATAATTAAAGCAGTACTGTGTAAAAATTCAAAACATAATTTCAACCACTTAGTTTTTGTTCAGTCAGCTGTAATTCCATAAAATGAAGCATGAGAGTAAACTGCACTAAGGTTTTCTTGGTTTTAGATAATCTTTTTCCACAATACTAGTGCAAGGTTAGAGAGAACATGAAAACCATTTCTTATAGCGCCTTTTCAATCAACAATTGTCATAATACTGTAATTTATTTCTTTATAGATTCCTTGTGCCAAGATGACAAGTCGGTTGATTGTGCTAAATTGAACTCAATGTTTAGTATTTGCGAGATAACAAGTGAAGCTAAGAAAATTTGTCCAAGATATTGCGATCTATGTGATCTAGGTTCGTCTATATCCTTTTGTAGTACTGGATGTCAAAAACAAAGCTATAACAGTCTGCAGATGCAATTGATATTCCAAATTATATAATTATATTTTAGCCATCATTAATTTAATTTTGTGTCAGTCTTCCTTATCTAACAAAAATAACGCTATATATGTTAGGACATCGAAAAAAATATTGATACAGATGATGCAAAAGGACAACATAGTCGGTATTTTTATAGACTTCATTGAAATAAAATACCTTTAAAAGTATGAAGACAGATGCCCGTTAATGAAAATATTTGATATTATTATTCACAAGGCCTAAACTTTAAAGCCACATTTGACAATTTTAAATTTATTTTGTGTTGAGGCATAAAACTGCAAAAACAATATAAATCAAATGGGCTTTTACATATTAAGTTACAATATTTGTTTTGTCAAAGTGAAGTATTCATTATCATAAGAAATAATGCACGGAAGGGCACCTGAGGTCTTCCTCTACCAGTGAAGCTGGAACGTCGCCATATGACCTATAGTGTATGGGTGTGACATACAACCAAACATTATCACAATTGCGAGAATAACAATGAATCATTATGCTTATTTTTTTTATTTTTTGCCAACTGATTTCAAAATCCCTTGGTGCATGACAGAGATATTGTCCGGACAAGATTTTTTAAGGGCTGATCTTTAACCTGTTAGTGTGAAATTGACCTTGGAGCTAGGGCTTCTGGTATTGCGCATGACATTTTGTCTCATATTACTTAACATTAGTGCTATTTTTTCAAAATCGATTTAAGCATGACAGATTTATGGTCGGATAAAAGTTTTCTAACTACTGACATTTGACCCCTGAGTGTGGCCTTGTCCTTGGAGCCATAGGTCCAAGTCTTGTGGATAACACACTGTCTTATCATGATTAACAAGAATGTCAAATCGTGAAAATAATACCTTGATAAATGACAGTTGAAGGCCGGCAAAGATTTTCTAACTGCTGACATTTGACCACTACGTTTGACCTTGACATTTTAGCTAAATGCCTAGGTCTCATACATGACACCGTCTCATTATGCTACACATTGTTCTAAACCATTATTTCAAAAATCTCTAGCTGCATGACCGAGTAATATGTCGGACAAGATGTTCTATGAGCTCTAAGTGTGATCCTGACCTTGAACCTGGGGGACATGGTGTTATACATGATACAACGCCTCATCATGCTACACATTGTGCTTAATCTTTTTCAATCCCTTTACGTATGGACAAAGTTATGGACCGGACAAGATGTTCTAACTGCTAGCATTTGACCTCTTAGTGCGACCTTAACCATCTCATCATGCTAAATCATGTTCAAACAGAAATAGTCTTAATAGAAATGTGTAAAAAGAAATATAAGGGCTGGCATGCTTTCATCAATAATGTTACATTTTACTTATAATGATAGAACTGGCATCGTTTATAAGTACGACAGTTCAGACTTTTTAAAAGGTAAATTAATCAACAATTATACCAAACAATTATACTTAAACAGTAAACACGACATCGTCACTCATGTGTATTAGCAAATCTGAACTAGTTGCTTTATAGATACATGTTTATTGTCACATTTGAAGTTGATGGAAGTTGGTCTGTCTGGTCACCATGGTCATCATGTGATGTCACTTGCGGAATAGGATCTATATTACGTCACCGCTCATGCACCAATCCAGCACCACAAAATGGCGGTCTTGACTGTCCAGGGAAAGGAAGCGAGCTTAAAACTTGTAAGCTGAAGCTATGTCCAGGTAAGCATGCTCATATATATTATATAGATCGTATTGTCCTAATGATTCGTTTGATATTACCGTATATCATAAAGAGATCCATGTAGAACGTCAATTTCTTTTCATGTAGTTAGTACTTCAGCGCGATTTTTATCTTTATGAAGGATCATTGTTGTTGATATTTATTATTTGGTGTGCTTATATATACATGTTCATATTTAAGGTTGTTTTTTTTTACTTATTTACAGTCCTAGCAGCATAATATTTATCCATGGGGATTCAGATCACTGTATTTATCAATGTTTTATGTTAATTAAAGGCCGACCTTTAATAATTCCAGTCTCAATGTGTTTTTTTTTTCAATATATTTGTCAAAGATAAGTCATTTGTGAGACCCTTTTCATTAGATTTTTTTTGGTGATATTCAGTACTTCTGGGTTCAGTACTTGTTGGCTTTGATATATCTTTTTAATCGGGAATCGAGATTATTGCATTTTGAATTATAACAGTACATGGCGGTTGGAGTTCATGGGATATTTGGGGGAAATGTTCAGCAACTTGTGGTGTAGGAATGCGAACTCGTAGACGATTGTGTACAAATCCACGTCCACAGCGTTTCGGGGACCATTGTTTTGGTGACAATATTGAAGATGAATTATGTAACAATGGAACTTGTGCAGGTAAGCCTGTGTCTCAAATTGTTATTACATGTACATATCACTGTTAATTAGGATACAAACTATAAATGAATGTATTAATAGTGGAGAGCCAAGATTAATGGACGGACACGATTAAAAAGAAAAAGAAAGAAAAGGAGGTCAACAAATAAAGTGACGTGAGATCATTCCTTTTATAAGAAGTCGCATCTGATTTGTACAAACAAAACACTACATTAAGCGATATTAAAATATAAATATGCGATACACATTAGTGGATATATATAAAATCACTATAATTCATTTTTCTTTTATCTTGCCTTCTCTTATATCACTTTATTTTGGAAGTTAACGGTGGATGGACTGACTGGTCAAAATGGGGACAATGTTCGGTTTCTTGTGGCGTCGGGCTTCAAAGTCGAAATCGTTCTTGTACAAACCCAACTCCTGCCAATGGCGGTCTACATTGCATTGGGCAAAACCTAAAAGATAATTTGTGTTACAAAGGATTGTGTGCCGGTAAAAACATACCCTCTCTATTTTTATCATTATTGTGACTTCTTATTTCCGTTAGCTTTAATATTTTGTTGGTATACAAACTATGCAGGAATGTATTAAAAAAGGGAGAGCAAATGTTAATAAAAATGTATACTGAAAAGTCTTTGTTGGAATAGACCACGAGGACAAACAAAGTGGAGGCATGACCGAGTGGTTAACGCGTTGGACTTGTAATCTATACCTGTTAGGGACAAGACGTTGTTTCCTTAAGCAAGAAACTGGTTGATATGTAGTGTTTTGTTCCAGGAATTGATTCGAGAGTGTGTCTCTAATCTTACAGCGAACTAAAATGAATTCTGTATAAATTAAATATAATATTTAGCTTAAAATGGATTGCTTTATTTATGACCAAAGCATTAACTATGTTTGCCTAATATTTTAGCTCCTGTAATTATTGACATGTCCTGGCTTTTAACATGTGTTTTGGCTTGTCTGACGATTGAATCTTTTTCTGAAAATAGTTAAGCATTATTTATATGATGATCGATCTCATAAATATCTTGAAATTCTAAGCTTTATAAAATTATGCAGGAGTGTGGACAAACTGGAATGATTGGAGTGAATGCTCTGTAAATGGGTCATCAGGAGTACAAACAAGAAACAGGACATGCTTGAAAATTTTATTTAGCACTGATTGCGAAGGACGTTTAACAGAAAAAAAGAAATGTGACATCCCAGAAACCTGTAGGTAGTCCTTGGTGATTGTATTTCTTCTTTGTAGATAAACATTTATATGTTTGGAATATAGTTCTAAAGTACTCTTTATATCATGTTCAAGTATCATTATGATAAAAAATATCCTACTATTGACTTATAACCTGCTTTAATTAGAACACTTTACTTAAACAAAACATCACTATATGTGAATAAATATATATTTAACACATACTTTCTGAAATTAAATGTGTCCCTCTTGAAAATTTATAGTCGTCTTAATCGCTTAGCCTTATAAAATTATTAAATTATCGTCTATTACTTATTTACTTGACTGAAACAAGAAAACAATTGCTATGGCATATCAATATTTGAGAAAACGTTTTGTTTTTTTCAGACACAGATTGCTATGAAATAAAAGAGATCACCGGTATACGTCAAGATGGAGTATATAATGTAACATTATGGAATTCAAAGCTGACAATACCCGTGTTCTGTGATTTTGAAACAGATGGCGGTGGATGGACGGTTGGTTTTACGAAAATTCTACTGTAGTGTCATTGGGTGAATTTAATCATCAGAATAATGCAAATAAATTCTAATCAAAATTTTACTATATTTATAACAACCTGTGAACGATAGCCCTTATTTTCCTTAGGTTTTTCAACTTAAACGTCGCATAATAAATAGTAGGATTGTATGAATAATCTAGAATTGTGAAAATGATTGTATTAAATGGTGCACTTTTGTCAGAAAGAACAATATCTTAATCAAATATATTCATTACATTTACAAATATGAGTTACATTTCAATTGTCCTTTTATGTACTCCTATATACTGTTTACAGGTTTTTCAAAAACGTTTCAACGGAAGTATTGATTTCTATAAGTCATTTATTGCTTATGAAAGAGGATTTGGTTCAGTTGACAGTGAATTTTGGTTGGGTAAGTAGATTAAATAATAAACGTAACTTAATAACAAAATAAATATTTTTTATGTATGTGACTTTGTGAATGCTTGTTTGAATAATTTACAGAATATATATATTTCTGAATATTGTGTTTGAGTATCTGCATGTTCATAACTATATACTGTACATACAATATTTCACACACAAAATCGTATTTAAAATTAATAATACATGTATATAAAATATTTAGAAAATGCCAAAGTGTTATTTTATTGATGGCAACAAGATTTGCAAGCAATTTAAAAGAGTTTTACCACTGATGTTCAATCTTCCGTCTTATTGTCTGTCCACATATTGATTCGTTATATAATACATCTCAAGTTTTATTATTATTTAACTTTGTAACACATTAAAGTTAGGCAGCTAATCAGGTGAGTCAAACAAAAATACTTAACAAATTGATTTGATCAGTCAGCGCAACTAAAAAGTATAATTTACGAAGTAAAACGTTTATTGTGTACTTTTTTACGGACTTCGATAATGTAAAGCAAGTATATATATGAAGTTAAATAATTATGTGCGGAATTTATTCCAACATAGGCCTTGCATATATTTACGAAATGGTATCACAAGGAAAAACGGAGTTAAGACTGGATCTGACAGCTGCCGATGGAACATCTGTTTACGAAACATTCCAGAACTTTCGACTGGGAAAACAGCCGTATTATACGCTTCATATTGACAAAGGAATTGGAACTGCAGGTAACAATTATCGTTGCATTCATCAATCATGTAAAAACATCTGTTTCACCTTGCGGAAGGAGATATTTTAACGCTATATTAATAACTAATGAGTAGTTCTTTTTATGTATTAGGTTAAAGTTTATAAGTACTAATAAACAAAATGAAGTTGGTCTGACGCGGCACGGCCGCGCGACCACTTTTACTTTTTAAATAAGTACTAATAAATTTCAGCCAGCTTAGTATTTAAAATTGTTATTATAAAAAGTCGATTTACTAGACTGATTCACATATTGCCGATATACCAAAGTAAATATGTTACGATTTATTTGAAATACTGCAAAACAATTGGACAAAAAATAATTTCACTACGGTCAGATTGTATCATTGATTAAGACATAATTATAATAAAGATGTTTAATATTCTTTTGATAAAACACAAACATGAATTTCAGTACAAAGAAAATACTTATTTCTGTATACAGGTGATGGAGTTTATGGTTTGTCTTATAATAATGGTATGCACTTCACAGCTTTCGATAATGACCGGGATACATATGTAGGTAATTGCGCAGTCCTGGATCGAGGTGGTTGGTGGTATAACAGATGTGGTAGTGCCAATTTAAACGGAGAATACGTTACTCCTGGCACCCAACAACCTAAGAGAGGATATGCTGGCATGATATATTACCCTTTTAAAAAACTAGAATCGCTAAGATCATCTAGAATGATGTTTCGGCGTGTTAGACAATAAAACATCATGTTAAGTTTTCGTATGACGTTAGGGGTTCTACAGTAATGATGACCTGTACATCGGAAAATGGTTAACAATGCAAACAAACATGTTGCATAGAAAGTCATGGTAATATGGTATCGCACTTAAAACTCACAATAAAAAATGAAATCAGAAATAAAGTTAAAAAAAAGAATTAAAACTTTGAGCAAACATAAACTCTTTTGAGTTGCAAATATATTTTGAAAACCTGAATAAAGTAACGAATTAAAGCAGCGTTCTGATTGAATTGTGTTTAAGTATCTGCATGTTCATAACTAAATATCAATACATTTGGTTGAAACTAAATAGCTTAACCAGAAAAATGTTATTAACCTTTAGAATTATTTGACTTCACAAAGCGTATATTTTCATTATCTGTTTTCAACGTTGATATACTAGTATATATATTATTTATACTTGGCAAAGTTCTTTCTTCATTTTCTTTTGTTAACCAGTGCTAAGTTATAAGACTTGGTCAAGCGTGTTTTTGTTGTTGTTGTTGGTGGTGTTGTTATCGTTGTTATTTTTTTGTTGTTGATATATATAGATATGTTAGACTTTTTTCTTTCATTTCCTTGAAGAAATGTTCAAAATTACTAAACTTGGTTAACGTATTCTTTCATTTTCTTTTGCAAGTGTGTAAAAGCACTATACTTTGTAAAACGTTTTCTTTCTCTTGTTTATGTGCAAAATCATTAGTTTTACATTTTTTATGTTTTATTTTAGATTTACTGTTATTTGGTCTAATTATTTTTTTGTTAAATGCTTTCTGACTGGCGTTCATGAAATTATATACAATGTCATAAACAAAATGATCAGTTTGTTCTTGTAAAATTAATTTTTGTTCTTTAGACTTATTCACTTCATATTTTACCTTATCTTTATCAATATTTCTTGCATATTCATCACTATTATGTCCATTGTTCCATAGCCGTTTAATGTTTTATTGGTGTTTGTATTTCTTTCACCAGTATTTATTCTTCTTGTTTGTATATTATTTTGATTGAAATTCAATAGTGAAACATTTTCAGTGAAAACATGTTCAATGATTTCAAACAATCCTATTGAGTAGATAATGTAATCAATTGTGCTTTTTCCTTAAAATGTTCTTTAAGTATACCTTAAGGAACATAAAATAGTTCGTGCTGGTATTTCATTATTATGAAAGAGTAATGGAATAAGTTTAAAATTGCATATAAGGTAAAGCTTTCAAAATGTAAGTTAAATTTGTTTGATCGTTTTTATTAGTTATGATGTCACATAACTTTTAGCTTTACTAGTGCCCCTTCGTACAATAGTTCAGTCAAAGGAGGGCATCTATTGTAAATTAAAGTACTAATAACATATTCATGCTGTCATAAAACTAAATGAATACTAATTAGAATTGACATCGTTATGACAAAGTTTAATACATAATATATTTATTGAAAAACACACTGCTAAAAGTATAAGTGCAGACAATATTAGATATATCAAATATACAGAAAATATAATCGCTTTAATTGATATGTTGTTGTTTTTTACAGTAATTCCATTTTTTGTCAACTTGTGTCCTTGTGTCCCTTCCTTGCCAATATATAAAGAAACATGAAAAAGATTAAGAAAGTGAAACGCAGAACATGATATTACTAATTTTATTCCTTAAAGAGTATTTAATTGCTACTAGTATGTCTTATTATTTTCACTTTCATAGTTTTACTATTGATTCATACACACATCAGAATATTCATTTAAAATAAACGATAATGTGCAGTTAGCAACTTAGTATGTAGTATGTTTTATTTTGCCATTTTTAGACAGTGTACTGCCAGTAACTGCTTTTTATATCAACCAGACCTTTAAAGGAAAACCTGATGGAAATTCCAAAGATTTCAAAATATCAACGATACTATAATGTATTGATAATCTATATAGACAGAATAGGCCACAACCGGTACATTGTAAAGAATATTTATTATTGGACAAACTAACGCCTCTTATCTATGCAATCGACTATTATTGGTTGAATAATTTAATGACATATTCACAACGTTTTTGGAATTAATATCTTAAATTTCTTCTAATTATTTCATTTATTTAATGATTTCTTCTATATTTGGTATGGCGGATACCTTCAATGGTCCTCTACATTTTAAGGAAGAAATAGGATAAAGGTCGTTGGAGAAAAACAAAACAGAAGCTTCTCCTGGTTCTTTAGCGTGCCAAGTGTTAAAGCACTCATACATGGGACCTCAATTTAAAGTCTCTTCCGAAGAACTGATTAGTAATTGTAGTTAGCCAGCCAGGGAATCGAATCAACAATGACGAGATTACAAGTCTCGTACTCTTACCGATAAAGCTTTGCGGGATGCGTGTTGTAGTAGAATAGTTCATTTATACTTGCCGCCGGAATTTACCATTTGGGCGAGATTATCTGCTCACTTGCTGGTTCGATCGTAGTGTCCACATCAGCGGCGACGTTTCATGCACAATCTCTCTGGAACTTGTTCTTTGCTCGTTGGTTGAAGGAGACGACAATACTTTCCAAGACATCACTCTTCAAACGGCATCATCAAACAAAATCGGCTCTTGTTACGACCAGCCTTCTGAGTTAGTCACGGCAGGTCAACAAATTATCTCTTGTACTTGAGAAGATTTTGACATTGACCTGGCATGTGCCTTCTCCGCGACGTGCACGCTTCCGGAGGGATTTGGAGAAGATATACGGTCTGTCTGTATGTATGTAGTTTATGTTAAATTAGGGTACATCCGTCAGTAAGGGCATTGAATATACAATGTAGCTTTTGCTGTCGAGTACGGACCCCGGACATGTCACTAGTAATGCCCTTATGAATTTTGAGCCAAAAGTAGGTCACTGTACAGCGGCCAATGAAAACCCAAAATGTACAGTAACCTGAAGGAGGTGGCCATTACAAGGGCTGTTGGTGCCAAGCAAAGGGCCTGCCTTACGAGAAGGGGCTAACGCACCCTAGCACACCATCCTCGTCGTCTCTGCCTACATTGTAGGGCTACTCCCCTCGGTTTAGTCAGGACACCAGCAGATGGTCCGCAATTCAAATTCTGTCGCCATCCCAAGTCTTCAACTCTTCTGCCGATGCCCTGTGCATTCTCAGCGACGTGCGCGCTTCGAAGGGAAGTGAGAACATATGCGGTCTGGTGATTTGCTGGCGCGTTTATAGTTGTTGTCGATTCATTCTGCGCATGCTCACTAATTAACTTTTTGTTGACAGTACAGGCGCTCAAAACAATAAAGCTAGTGGCAACAATGACATTTTAAAAGACTATTTAAAGTACACTTTACCTATTATGAAAAATGTATATCATAAGCTATTCAATATAATTTTTACATATGGTATTATCCCCGAAGGTTGGAAAATTGGTGTTATCAATCCAGTATTCAGAATCAAGGGCGATGATATTGAGCCAAGCAATTATTGACCAATAACTAGTTTGAGGAATTTTGGAAAATTATTTACGTCATTTTTAAATATATGTCTGCAGAAATTTTCTGGAAAAACAGTTGTTCAGTCAGTATGAATGTGGTGTAAGACAGGGATACTCAACTGTTGAGTATGCACTTAAAATGTTAATTGATATATTACAGAATTCAAGAAAGACAACAGGTTTGTTTACATGAAAATTTATGTTATTTGATTTTTATGAACTAAAAAATCCATTATTATATTTATATTTGTAAAATTGTTAATACAGATGTAAAGACAGAAAAAAGCTCTATGAATTCCTGAAAATGTCAAATAGCTTGTTTATATGAATTGTTTGAATATTATATATATTGTTTGTCTTTAGGACTTATACGAATGTATAAAATGCTATATTGTATGTCTTTGTGAATTATAAGATTACTAAAATGCTTGTACATGTATGTGAAATCAGAAAATAAAAAAAATCTAAAAGGAAATTGTCTTGTTTTTGTGCATTTATAGGTTTAAAAAGTGCATTAGATACTACATGTAAAACACACTTGTGGACAAAACCTTAGTTATGATACAACTGAAAAGTTTCTCAATGTTGTTAAAATTATTTATGATAATGCTAAAACATGTGCGTGTGTGCGTGCGTGCGTGCGTGTTCAAAGTTTTGCCCTTTCTTACTTATTGCTTTTCTGCAAAAGTCAATTTAATTGCTTCAAACTTGGAATACTTGTTCAATTTAAAAAATGGAATTCATTTCAAAAGGGTAGGTAAACTTACAATTTAAGCTCAGCATTGCCCTATTTTACTTTGACTATCTTGGTTAACGTATTTGTTAATAAACATTTCTCAAAAGGTATCAAGGGAGGGCATTCACTTTAAACTTTGAGACTTGTTCACTTTCAAATTTAAAATGCATTTCCAAGAGGTAGATAATCATAAAGTTTATTGTTGCTTCATTATTTAATTCCCTGTTTAATATCAAACATTAACTTTTGCTAAAAAACTGTTAAAGGTATTCTCTTCGAATATTGAAATATTTGTTGACTAACAGGGTCATGTAAGTCTGCTCAGCACTTTTACAAGTTTATGCCAACCTTTTCTATGTTACTTTCTTCAACAACCAAGCACCAAGAAAAGTGTGGCTTGTTATGATTTATAATAAAACTTAGCTCTTACCAAAGATTTAGTGAATAGCAATATTTGATCGTTTCGGATTGTTAAGATGGTTCCCGGATCGATATTGTACATTGATATAGGTGAATAAATGACATCGATTTGTGACAACATAAAAGAAGATTTGCGACAACATACAAAGTACAGAGGGTCTATTTTCTTATGTAAAAAAATGAATCAATAAGATAAACTTTATTTAAACAAAATATTTTAATTTGCAGGTGTCAATAAATGAATAGTTATTCAACAAATAACGAAAATATAAATACATGTATATCACTGTAATTTAACGGCAATTTTGAGTTTTATTTTCATTTTTAAAGCAGCATGCCTTCAGATTAATGCTTATTTTCATAAAACAATTAAAAAATGTATTAAAAAGTAAAATAATGTGATAGGAACAAAGAAAAAATAAAACAATTTTTTTCCCAAAGGTTAGACACCATTTTTTACAAGCTTGTACAAACTTTACGTCTATAGAAATGTTTTGTAAAATAACACAATCTTCGTTCGTTGGACAGTTTCATTGAAACTATCGTTGGTTGACCAGGACATACGGTACTCATGGTAAAACGTTCGTCAAGTCAAATTTGTTTTTGTTGCAAATTTAGGACAATTTAACGTAAACTTCCTAGAATGTCTTATAATATGTTTTATTATTAGCTCCAACTGAATAGATCAAGGGAAGTAATTATTGCATTCAGTTTAATAAATTACAAAACATAGTTATAGTGTATGATTTTTTATAAATATAAATCGGTCCCTTAAGGCATAAAGTATGGCTTTTTTTAGGCAATGGCAACTGAAAGAATCAGATTCCTCTAGAAACTGTAATTTTACCCATAGATAACCTACTTCTGTCGTTAACTCGAATGTCCTTAATACAGCAAATGATAAATCTATTAACATCGAAACAGAGTATCCTTATGAAACGATGGATGGAAATTTAACTCAAATAAAAACGAACATCGCGGAACATGCTAAATGAGAAGTCCAAAGTTAAACTTGTTTAAATTTCTATTCATTGTTACATGTACCACCAGTCGAAAGTAGCCAGTAAAGTTACTGTATTTGTTATATAATGTTATATGAATTAACTAATAGGACTTTCCTATACTGATTACTCGTTTAGGATTTTTTGGTTTGGTAACGGTCGTGTTAACAGTATTTGCTTGTCGTTTAGACGATTTTGCTACAACAGAATGGTACACTGCAAATTCGTCATTAATTCTTGGTGTAAAATTTTTCCTTGGACTAGATTTTCCTAAGTCATTGTATTTATCCGTATTTGAGTCCGTCTGCTCCTCGACGCTGGGGCGGGAACGCGCGAAATTCTCGTATGTTCCAGAGTCAATAATCTCTTTATCGCCGACAATTTTCTCAAACCACACACGATCTGCTTCCGGATCGGAAACAAACTTTTTAGATTTTTTACCGCCATTATCACTGTTCCTAGAACGGTTTGAAAATCCGCCGCTTATGTAGTCAAGAATAGAGACTGGATCTAGTGCCGAATTACTAGAAGGACCAATGTTTTCAAGCGGAATTCTCGGAACCCTACTGTCTATTGATGATGCAGCAGACGGCACGCGTTCGGGTATTTCTGTAATTTCAACCTTGCTTACTGCTGATAGTATTTCTTCTGGTTCGTCAGGTGAAGGTATTGGTAGCTCCTCGGGCTCTACGTTTTCATTTTCTTCATCTGTGTCCTGTGAAACTATATCATGTTCAAATTTCACGTTTTTTGGTTCATTTTGTAAACGAGATATCTTTCTTTCTGGTTGCTTTAGAATTGGAAGTTTATATGTATACATATTTCTTTCTCGAAATGTTTTTAATTTCTTTTCTCGCCTCATTGTTGGTTTGACATTTCCTACATCTTCAGTCATTGTACCTGCATTCTTCTTCCTAATAACAGAATCGAATTCAAACCCCGGATCATCAGTTGAACTGTCCTCGTCAAAATCGTCCGAATAATCACCGAACTCTTTTGACGCGTGCGTATTCATGTTTTCCTCTGTTGGTTTGTCAATGACCTCGTACACATCACTTTCGATTATTTCGATTTTATTTAAAGAAGCACGCCGTCTTTTATCCACTAAATTAGGAAATATAACCTTAAGATTTTGGCTAAATCTCGTCGACAAATCCGCTTGCACCGCAACGCTCACCTTTTCAACCGGATTCGGCTGTACACGGTACGGAATATCCGGGAGTGACGTCAGCTGTGACCGAAACGCTCCTCGATTTAGTTTTTGAAAATTCCATAGTTTCTGTCTTTGCAACAGATTCGAGTCCTTAGGGTTATCTATAAGAACTTTTTTATATCTCGACCAACTTCTTTCCGGTGGTTCTTTTGCGGCTAGACTCACGTGAATTCCTGATCGAAGTGGCGGGAAAGTGACTTTTTGCATCTTGTGTATTCCCACCTCATACTTGACGTTGAATTCCATTCTTGTGACTTTTAACCTTAAGATCTACTTACAAATCAAAATTTTCATTTTAAAGTCATTCATAGTGGCAATACGTAGAATTGCATGGGAATCAATAATCTACCCAATGTAGATTTCATCCATTATATATTTCTATTTCATACATTCATTTCTGAACATAGGAGTGAAAGTTCATATATGAATTCTTCTAAAACGAATAACGCTGTATGCGTACAAACATCGACTGGTTACACCTCTGTATTCGTTTTTTGTAACGTCTCAAGTTGGTTTTTGATAGACCATCGTGATCCTGAAATATAATAGCAAATGTATTAAAGTTTGGAGAATTTTTCAGAGTTAAATCGTATACCCATACATGCACATTGCGTTGAATAGAGTGCAGGAATTAATTACTCGCACTCCAGGGCATGCTAGTTGATTAGTTCATTTTTTTCTGGAAGTTACTTTATATTGTGACGACAGGGAAAGTGATAACAGTGGAAAAGTCATATTCATTGGTTACTTTTTTCTGATTGTGATGACAGGGATGACTATAATAGAAAAGAGAAAGAACATCAAAACACTCGGCAATCTGATTTATTCGTACAAATAAGATAGCATCATCGTGTTTCGGTGTTCTTTATATTGCTTAATACTTCTGAGTGACATCACTGCAATTTAAAAATTCAACGAATTTGGAAAACGATACGACACCATATGGTTCGTTTTTGCTAAAAATATGAATTGCAGTTATATGATTCGTAATGTATTTTTATCACAATTTTAAATAAATCCTCAAATATATACACCTTATCATAAGCTTCTTCGATTTTATTAATCAAACAAAGCATATCGTTGCAATAATCATTTGAAAATCGTTTTATTAATAATCGAAGATTGTGTCAATATCAAATATCTATTTTATTGAGAACGGATTTAGATAAGTATATCAAAAAATCAGTTTTCCAAACATTAGACGCACCGCACATTGATTATATATAAAAGTACATTTACTAATATAAACGGAATACTGTATTTTTCATCAATGAGATAGATTGCATATCATTCACTTCAGTATTTGGTATTATTTTGCTTCGTCATATGAAATAAGTGGATGATAATTTTGGCTATTTCATGAGTATGGAATAAATCTTTCATAAAAACTATTTTCATTATGTTGTTGTGAGCAAATAAAATCAGTTCATTTATTAGCTTTACGTGAGATTTAACGCATTCTATTAAATATATCCCATATTCTCACTTGTCTTTAACATAACGGTATATGATAATTGAGCACTTATGAAATTGTTAATGAAGAACAGGTAGATAATTTTCATGCCACCGAAGATAAACCGCCTTGTTTGTCCGTCTGTCAGTAAATCCGTACGAAATCGTTTCCGAATTATAACTTTGTCATTATGTTATGAATTTTCTTTAAACACAAATGCGCATCCCATGAGACAGTGTGTAACGCGCAAAATATAGATATGTAGCCAAAAGGCCAAGGTCACATATACATACATGTATCTAAGGCGAAAGGGGGTCTTTTTTCGTGTCCAGTCTATTAGTTTGTCATTCCTTGAAATGTTTTGAAATTACATGTACTTAGAACAAATGAGCCGCGTCACGACAGAACCAACATAATGGGTTTGCATCCAGACCAGCCTGCGCATCCACGCAGTCTGATCAGGATTCATGCTGTTCGATATCAGTTTCTCGTCTTGTTATATGGTTCGTAAGCGAACAGCATGATCCTGATCAGACTGCGCGGATGCGCAGGCTGGTCTTGATCCATGCTGGTCGCAAACACGTTATGCTAGTTTTGTCATGGCGCGGCTCAAATGTCAACAGCAAAAGATAAACATGAGACAGTTTGATGGGCACAAGATCCAGACCCGTAGCACAAAGGTCAATGTTACATAAAGGTCAAAGGCCAAAAATTGGACCAATTTTGTGTTCGGTCTATAACTTTGACATTGATTGATTTTGAAGTAACGAAGCCCCATTTGGAGTATTCGTCGGATATAAGTGATATTCATACGCAGAAATTACCAAATAACGACATTCATTTTATTTCTAATAACTTTAGGGAAGTTTGTCAACTTTACCAATCTTGTTTTGTAAGTGAAATTCGGCGTTCAGCGGAAGACTGGCATTTGAACAAATGTGTGACATTTAATATAAGCAACTTCAAACAACTGAACAGACCTCTGACTACTTTTGTTTTTTAAAAAATAGAATTTTTGTGTTTTAACAGAAGTTTGACAATTGAGCTAAAGTATAACATTTTAACAGAAGTTTGACATTTGAGTTAAAGTATAACATTTTAACAGAAGTCTGACATTCGAGCTGAAGTATAACATTTTAACAGAAGTTTAACTGGTTAAACAGTTTATAATATTTTAACAAAAGTTAGACATTTAAACAAAAGTATTACTTCTTAACAAAGTGTTACATTTGGACAGAAATACAACATTTTTAAATTAACAGAAATGTGACATTTAAACAGGATTGTGGCATTTAAAACCGACGTGTGACATTCAAGTAGAAGTATGAAATTTTAACAGAAATGTTACACTTAAACAGACGTATGAGGTTTAAATAGAAATAAGAAGTTTAAACAGATATATGACATTTTAACAAAAGTGTAACCTTTAAACAGAAGTATGGCATTTAAACAGAAATATGACATTTTGGCAGAAGTGTGACATTTATAATGTAAGACATTTACCAGAAGTACGAATAGAAGTCTTGTGTTTGAACAGAAGTAAAACATATAAACAGAAATATGAAATCTGAATTTTAACAAAAGTGCTACATTTTTGTAGAAATCTGACATCTAGGTAGAAATTTGACATTGAAATGTTTGTCTGAGAAGTAACGAAGTTGAAAATCATTACTCTAAAGATATACATTGTATCAGAAATCTGACAACCAAAAAAATTAAAATTTTAAAATTTCTCATAGCATTAGCATACGAGGAACTTTAAACGTAATACATAGAAACCAGTTGTAAGCAATAAGCACAATCCTGTCGCGATGTGCCTTTAATGAATAAAGGACAATATTTTGGTATGGGGTATTTCTTTTTCTCAATTAAAGTTACACTAATTTAAAGAAATTGTATTAATATTACTACCGGTTTAACAATATATAACAAGGCAAAAATAGCCTCTTACATACAACACTTGCAATTTTAAACAATTATAAACATTACCGTTACAATTACTTATATATTTTACCGTCACGGTGTATTTTTCAAGTATGCAGAAAAAAGTTAAGGGTGTAATTATCTAAATATTTTATTGCATACGTATAATATCAAGTTTTTGATGATTAGGTAAAGAAATAATAAGAGCCGCGTCACGACAAAACCAACATAATGCGTTTGCGACCAGCATGGATCCAGACCAGCCAGCGCATCCGCGCGGTCTGATCAGGATCCATGCTGTTCGCTATCAGTTTCTCTACTTGTTATAGGGTCTGTAAGCGAACAGCATGGATCCTGATCAGACTGCGCAGGCTGGTCTGGATCTATGCTGGTCGCAAACCCATTATGTTGGTTTTGTCGTGACGCGGCTCAAATATATTTTCAATAAGGACAAACACTTGTAAAATTACAGTGACTTTTGAAAAATTAGTTTTTTAATACTTCGAATTAAAACAAGTTTTGACAATTTACTGAATAAAAAATTGATATTAAAAACAGCTAGATTATATGTCAAATATATGTCAAATATTTGTACATGTACGAAAATGGATTAGAGACTATCTATTTTCTATAAACATGTATTTAAGGGTTTTGCAGCGGCTTATTCCTGTTCGATATGGAATTAAGAATATATCTGGAGAAGATATAGATTACAGTTTGTATTCCATACAATATTTCATGTTTACAAATGTATCAATTTAAAACTAATTGAGTTTCCGAAAATGTCGATTGTGGCAATAGAAAATCATTTTTAAAAAGCCGATCAAAAAACTAAATATGTAGCACAATTATTAGGATAGATTCTGTATTCAACGCTGAATTTCCGTTATTTGATGATACATTTGAGTGTAATACAATATAGTAAAATGTTTATTTAAGACCAATTATTAAAAAATAACGATGAACGTAAACGATATATGCTACAATAAAGCACGGGGAAAGAAATTAAAGTTTGAATCGATTTATAAATAATTTTGCATGATATTATCCTACAAGCTTAATTTGGTTGAAAATATTTTTTATATCAAAAAATGAAATATTCCATGATATTACATAAATACACATATTTTTTTAAAACTTGAAAGGTTATATATAAAGCACGTGCAACTCACCTGTATTTTATAAATTCCTAATCTTCATGCAGTAAATCCAAATGTGTCATCTTTATGTGTGTCAAATATCTATAAACTTTCTTTTTTTCTTCTTAAATTTTAATTTGACATGGGAGGCTTTTAAATATTGACTGACGTCTTACATATTAGCATTTCGCGGATTAAACCTTTAATTCTTGAGCCGTGCTTATCATAACCCTTTCGCGAAAATACGTGACTATTTCGTTATACGCCAAAAAGCTGATAAAATGTAACGTTTGCCAAATAATTTTCTTCCAGGGTAAACTAGCTTAAATATTTACTATTTCACATAGCACTGAAACATTTAAAAGATCAAAGATTTGCGTTGATAAATTATACACAATTCAAACAGCAATAGGTCACAGTATTCGTCAATAGAGTGCCATTCGGACAAAAGGGTACAGTTTTAAGATAGTTGTTAAAGATTTTAACAGTGTATCGGTTCAACTTTAAAACTAACAAATAAACCGATGGTACTATATCATGCAATGTTTTTAACATTAAATGTATATGGTTATGTAAGGGGTTATTATAATGTTATGAATTCTATCAAATTTGAATCAAATTGTTCGCAATATTGTTCACATGTAACAAAGTACCGGTTAATTTTTAACAACGAATATCGGCCTTCATAGATTAACCTCTCTTTGTGTTTGTCACACGAAAATAAAAATAATTTAAAATGTTTGGTATCTTAATTTGTGCACGTTTTTTTTTAATTATTAACTTATATTTTATTGAAATCAAACGAATACTAAGTCAATTTATCCGTTCATTCACGTACACGTACAAGTCTATCAACTTCTCCACATTTACGTCGGTGGAAGAAAGGGTGCGAATGGTGTTAAAAACATTTTTCTTCCGCATTCGGAACACGTCGCTTATCACGGTAAATCATCTCGGAAACGATATGGATCGAAAGGAGTTCTGCTATATACGCCATCCGTAGGAAAATATTAATTGTTGTTGGTGGTGGTGTTTGTTTCTTTTATTTTTATTATTATTATTATGATATTATGACTGATTTTTATAGACAAAATTGATGAAACTAAATCAAGAATACTCATCAGCTATATTACATGTTTAACTGCGTATGTTAGACCAAACTCCGTATCCATTATGTTTGTTTATTCTTTATATTGTATTTGTGAAATCGTAATCAAATAATCCGAAGTCTCGAGTTTTTATTTATTCATTTATTTATATATTCGTTTATTCGTTTATTTATTTATGTCTTTTTCCTGCAAACTTCTAGGAAATGCAAATTTGGCTGTATGCAATATAGTAACGTTCGGTTATGGTGATTGATAAACATTACTGTCGCAGTGGTGAAAGTCAATGCTATCTTAGGTACGAATAAAATACGTAGGCCTGTGTCCAGAATCATGAAAAAAACCCATGGATTTTTAATCAAATAAACTGCTGGGTTTTGGACCTAATTTTATTTTCATAAAACCGCGTATTTTTAAAGAGAAATACCTTCGCAGAAGTGTGTACAAGTCACTTTAAAATCAGAAGAATTAAAACAAGTCTGGTTGCCGCATTATCTAAATCAAAATAGATTAGCAAATTAATTACCTTACTGATAATATGCATGCAATTACTAAGATTTTTTTTACATTTAATATTAGCATATATATTAAACTGTCATAGGATTTAATCTTATTTAGCACCGATTTGGCAAAAGAACACTAGGATAAAGGTAATTATAAGCTGTAACTAATTTTGACGATTAAACTTTTATACCACATCAGTTTTTTATGTTGAAGGATAGACACAGCATTTTTATTTTATATAACACATTCAATGTGTCATTCGTATAGCCTCGTAAACTGTGAAAAGTCAAAGAATTAACCTTATGTTCTTATTTTTGGGTGACCCACATGTAGGTCCGTCTAAATAAGTATGAATTTCAAGCATTTGTGATTTTTTTTAATCTATATATATAGATATTGACATACCTTTAATGATTCTGGCATCAAAAGATTTTATGTCCCAACTAAATAAATATAAAAGCTTGACTTAAACGCTGACGAACTTATATAAAAACATAAACTTTTTGATCATTTCAGTTATAATTGAGTAAAATGTACGTACTAAAGTAAGAATTTACTAAAAAAGAAGCATTCGTTGATTTTATCTTGGTTTTTTGTTTCGATGGATAGTAGCAGCGAAAATATTCCGTTGTACGGTTTAAAATGAAAGAGCATACATACAAAACATTTGAAATTATTATTATTAGTTGTGCCTGATTTTCAAGAGACCCAAACGAGGTTCTATGATTGATGTCCGATTTAAACAAATTAAATAAAGTGAACGCAGGAAACTTGCAGAATGTTTGATTTAAAGGTAATAAAAACTGGACCTTCTGCTTGAATAAAGCTTATACCAGTCTCTCATTGTGAGACTGGGCTATGATAAGTTATAGCTGGGAAATGATACAAGTTAAGGCTTGGAAATGATACTAGTTAAGACTGGGAAATGACACAAGTTAAGGCTGGTAAATAATACAAGTTAATGCTGGGAAATGATACAAGTTTAGGCTGGTAAATAATACAGGTTAAGGCTGGGAAATGATACAAGTTAAGGCTGGTAAATAATACAGGTTAAGGCTGGGAAATGATACAAGTTTAGGCTGGGAAATGATACAAGTTATGGCTGGGAAATGATACAAGTTATTGCGGGGAATGATACAAGCTAAGATTGGGAAATGATACAAGTTTAGGGAAATGATACAAGTTAAGGCTGGGAAATGATGCAAGTTATGGCCTGGGAAATGATGCACGTTAAGGCTGGCATATGATAAAAGTTATTGCTGGGAAATGATACAAGTTATGGCTGGGAAATGATGCAAGTTATGGCTGGGAAAAGATGCACGTTAAGGCTGGGAAATTATAAAAGTTATTGCTGGTAAATGATACAAGTTTGGACTGGGAAATGATACAAGTTAAGACTGGGAAATGATAAAAGTTATTGCTGAGAAATGATAAAAGTTATGGCTGGGAAATGATAAAAGTTAAGGCGGGGAAATGATACAAGTCAAGGCTGAATTCAAGTTAAAGAAAATCACACACAATAGCGAAAGTAATAATAACGCAAAATATAAAAGTGATGATGAGAAAACATTGAATGTCTTAGTAAGTGATCAAAGTGATTGATATAAATCATATCTCATTGATATGTATTACATAATCTAAAAAGCTTTCATAACCCATGTGACTTGTTAAATAGCAAGAAGCGCTCTTACCTAATTATTTCGTTTTCTATCTAAACTGTAATAGCTAAAGACAGGCAAATGTATCGATAAAAATCATTGAAGTGGTAGATACTGTGAGAAAAAAAAGAAGATATTTCGTTAGATATATCCGTGTACTTACATAGTTATTACCAAAAACGGGACATTAATCCTCGACTACTTAACACTCTTTTAACTTGATAATATGTATGTTTAAATTTACATTTAAACTTTGAAAATATTTGTAAAGGCTGCGTTTTAAAGTTTAATCAGAGGATTACGGGGGTTAGAGAGGAACAAAGCATATCTTATATATGCAATCATTTTAAGATAACTGTTAAGATACAAAGTGCGTGTTTAACTTATAACTGTACATAAACACTTAAAATGTCCGTAGTCCATTTCTTGAAATGACTTGTCCAACTTTCAAGCTTGATAAAATCATTCATCATTTTTAGCGTGCATTTTCAAAATATGAACTGACTGGATTGCGAGCAGTGGTTTCATTTTACTTTGCTTGATGTGTTTAATTATATTTTGTTTTAACTGTTTCATTATAAATATACTTCTCAAGCAAAATACAGTGGAACTGATAAAGGGAAGTAAATTTGAAACTCTAAAGAAAGATTTAATGGAACATCTCATGAAAAATATGGCGGGACGTCTAAGCAAAGTATTATGAAACCTCTCAAGGAAGTATCACGGAACCTCTAAAACAAAGTTTATTAGAACCTCTAAAACAAAATATAATGGAACCTCTCAAGCAAAGAAAAATTGTGAGATTAAACGAGACTTACCTGTAAGTTGAAGTTTGATCGAGATTTTGTCTTCTACCAACTCCTAAAGGGATTATACAGAGATGACGTAGCTCATGTTTCCGTGAAAATCAGTCTTTAGAGTAATCGGTCAAGCGTGAATCTGCATGGTTTTCCAAGCAGCGTTCATGCTTTAACAGCAGCATTGAGCATAAAATCAAGCCATGGGGTTGGGTTGGGAGGGTGTATGATCCCTTAAGGAGTTGGTAGAAGACAAAATCTCGATCAAACTTCAACTTACAGGTAAGTCTCGTTTAATCTCACAATTTTATCTTCTACCTAACTCCTTAATGGGATCACACAGAGATTTTAGAGTTGATTTTCAGCGAAATCACACAAATTGTTTAAATTTACTACATTTTAATCAAATTTTTATGTTTGCTATACTATTATAATACAAAGTGCATGCACAACATTATTTTTTAAATGTTCAACAGTAACCAGTCTATTAATCCTGAATAGCTGACTGAATAGTTAATTTTTGCACCGGTTTGTCATAAAATCTTTTGAATGTCCTAACATTAGACCATCCAGCAGTTTTGGTTATCTTGTCAAGAGAAACACCTTTTAACTTTGCTGTGCTAGTGGCCACTGCTCTGGTGCTATGCAATGTAAAGGCAGAGTCAATGCCAGCATTGGTAAGAATTCGTTTCACCCACCGAGCAATTGTGTCCTTTGATACACCTTTATGTGGGCTTTGAGTGCTTATGAGCAATGATTGATCTTCAGAATATCGCAGAACTTCTGTCCTGCTTAAATATTTTTCAAAAGTTTTGACAATGCATAATTTTTCATTTTTTGGATAATTAACCAGTGTTATAGGTTCTAAGTGGAAAGTCGGTCGTGACTGTTTCAATATGTGATTAGTTAAGATAGTAATTTGTTTTGAATTAATAATAATATCTTTCAATTTTATCAAATGAAGTGTCTGGCACCTCTGTGCACTAAGGAGTAAAAACAGAAGACATAATTTTCCAGAAAGAAACAATAATGAATCATCCTCTTCTTCACCTAGATAGTCAAGTACTACTTGTACATCCCAGACAACTGGGTGCTTTGGAAGGTTTGGCCTGTTGTGGAAAATACCCTTCATAAATTTTCGAAGCAATGCATCAGAGCTGAAGTCTGTTTTCCTACACAGTGATGTAAATGCGTTGACTGCCGCTCGCGCTGTGCCAATTGCACTGTAGCTGAGTCCAAGCTGGAAGAGGTCTGTCAAAAACTTAATGATATTTTTTAGAGAGGGCGCAGTAGCACTGACCGATTCCTTATCACAAAATACAAATCCACCGCTTTTGATAAAGGATGCATACTGCCGTTGGGTAGAAGTTCTCCATCCATCGATGATAAGATTGGCAGAGTGTTCCGATATGCCTTGTTTACATAGGGTTTCCCTGATAATCGGAAAACACCCAAAACCATCTTCTTTAGTGGATGTTTTCTGTCTGGCTTGTGCGGAAGGTGGAGTATTTCCTGTGATGGCGGAAGTAAGTAGCTTTGCTGACTTAGCAAGTGAAGTAATTGTGCCCACCAACCTTGTGTCGTCCAGACTGGAGCCACCAGAATAACTTCTGCTTGGTCTTGTATAACTTTCTGCAGCACCTTCGGTATCAAACTGAAAGGAGGAAACATATATAGTAATTTGTTTTCCCAGTCCAAAGAAAATGCATCAATTGCCCATGCCTCAGGCTGTGGTAGCCTTGAGACATAATTATCTAATTTTCTACTTAATCTGGACGCAAACATGTCAATATCTGGAATCCCAAATTTTACCATAATTTCTTTAAACACTAAATCATTTAGCGACCATTCTAAATCGTCATTGAATTGTCTTGACAATCTATCTGCCTCTGTATTTGCAGATCCTGCCACATGTGCTGCACTTAAATGTATGCCCCTGTCAATACACCAGAACCATATTTCTCTTGAGAGATCATTTAATTCCTTACAGCGCCCCCCTAATTTGTTAATGTAGGCACAACATGTAGTGTTATCAGAATAAATCGAATATGAACCTTTTTTAGATTTTGACACAATGCAATCAAAGATAATTTACAAGCTTTAAGTTCTAATATATTAATATGTAGGTTTTGTTCATCAACAGACCAAACCCCATTCGTTTCAGCATTTAGGGCCTTAATGCAGCCACCATATCCCTTTAAGCTCGCGTCCGTGTGAACTACAATGGTTGGATTTCCGTGAGAAACCTTTTTAACAGAGAATTCCAAGTTGTCAACCCACCACTGAATATGCATTTTTATGTCTTCAGTTAGTTTCATGTACGATTTGTAATTACCACTCTTAAGTTTCAGGTTAATTTCTTTAGCTCTTTCCAGGGGTTTATAATAAAGAGGATCATATTCCACGCCAGGTTCAGCTGCTACCAATTTTCCAATTAATTGAGCAAATTCTGTAATGGTTACCCACTTTTTATTTATCATATCTATGCATTGAGTTCTGATATTGTTTACTTTTTTTGTGTCAGTCTGACAGTCATTGTGCGTGAGCATAAGATAAAGCCTACAAATTCAATCTGCTTGCTCGGGATAAATTTTGATTTTTCACTATTCACAGTAAGTCCAAGACTATCTAACAGATAGACCGTGTCACGGATATTCTCAGTACAAGCTTCATAAGTCTGACTTTGTAAACATGAGTCATCTATATATATAGTACTAATATGACCCTTAGCCCTGAGAGATGCAAAAGCAGGTTTTAACAATTTGGTAAATACCCTTGGAGCTGTAGTTAGTCCCATCACAAGAGCAGTAAATTGATATTTTTGCCCGTTGTATATGAACCTAAAGTATTTGCGATCTTGATGGCAAATAGGAATGGAGTAAAACGCGTCCGCGATGTCCACTGACCCAAAGTTGCAATCTTTAGTCATCATATTTATAGCATTTTTAAGAGTCTCCATTTTAAAATGAATAAATTGCATATGTTTATTGAATTGTTTCAAGTTTAAAATAATTCGAATGCGTCCATCCTTTTTTGGTCTGGCAAAAATGTTAGAGATAAACTCTCCACTTTCTACTTTAGATACAGGCTCTATAATGTCACAACTAAGAAATCTTTCTATTTCTCGATCAATTTTTTCCTGTTCAATGTCACTAAACTTAATTGGTTGCGGTTGAATAAATTGACAAGGTGTAGTATCTAGTTCAACAGAGTAGCCACCAATTGTTTGTAAAATCCATTTATCGTGTGTAATTTTACTCCACCTATTAAATGCATGTCTGGTTTTACCAGCTTTTGAAGTTACTTTGTGTATTTACAAGTTTTGTAATTATTTGGTGTAACTTACCGGTTCTAATAGTGTTTGTTGGGCTGATTCCCTGTTTTCTTCATTGCGGATTTCTGCCCGTAATTTGTTGATCTTTGATTTGAGTTCTTGTGTCCTTGATAGTTGTTTTTGTTTGTGTTCTTTCTTTTGAAACTGATATTGATTCCGGTTTAGTGTCACTTGTGGCTGTGGACGCTGTGTTTGATCTGTTCAGGGGAAGCTGACTTTTGCCTCCCCCCGCCTTTCCCTAAAAAATGCTCTTTATTGATCATCTTGATTTGTCGGCATGATTCCGCATTCTTGCTTTGCTCTTGGAGCTTGTCCCCAAACAGTCCTGTTGCCGAAGTGTTGGTTTCGCTAGCACAGAGACTCTTAAATGAATGATCCACTTCCTTCCTAATAGAATCTCGCCTCTGGCTGTTAATTTTTGCTATTGTGCTGCATATACTTTTGAATGAGTCCCCAATGCATTCTTTAAGGAATGAAGATCTGGCTGATCATTGGCATAAGCATGATCCATTGCTGCTACCAGAGGTGCTGCCGCCTTATTGAAATCATCAATGATATGTTGCTTTGAAATGTCAGTAGATTTTACATTGGTCTCAAGCTGATTTCAAAAAAATTTGTCAATTTTTGGCACCTGAAGCGTTTCCACATTTGCTGGTCGTTTGTACTTTTGATGTAAAGCTTGAATTTTTTTTCCTAGTCAATTTTGTTTGGTCTCAAAGATTTGTTCACAACCTTTGCAACCGTTTCATTGATGGCTGGCCCAGTTTCCTCTTCTTCCACAAAAAAAATTGTCAAGTCCCATTAATACATCATCAGTAAATGGACCTGCACTATCTTCTGTATGATGTGAAGGACCAGGTTCATTCATTAGTCCATCGATATCTCCGTCGGAATCCGAATCCGAACTGTCCGAATTACTGACAGTATGAGAAACTTTCCTCCGTTTGCTTGGTTCATTTTGTCCAGATTCGTCATTATTTCTCTTTAAATTGGCCTGAATTTCACTAACCGATGTTGCTAGATCCTTTATCTTCAAGGCCTGCCCTTCAAATGATCGGATCGACGAAACAAATGTCTCAAGAATCTCCTCTCCCTTTTGTATAAATCGATCAATTCTGTTTACATTCGATGCGCTTCCGGTTTGCGCACTGCTGCTTTCTCACGGCGATAAAATCCG